TAATTGGCCTTTAGCTAAAGCCGCTAGTACCCATTCTGGTAAACCCAGATTCATGGCATCTGGACACACATAAGAACCGTACTGGAAGAAGTCCTGCAGCTTTACCTGGGACTGCTGATATTCTTTCATGGAACAGCAAAGAAGTTCCTTAACATTTTCTCGATCCTTTTTGGGGAGATATTTCAGAACATTATCTAGTGCTTCCATAGGGTTGGCGAAATGAGACAACCAATTCAGAAGTCCCATAACTCGGTGGTGTCTCCTCCCCTTAAAATTGGTAGCTCCAAGAGGAAGACGTGCCTTACTTAAGAATGTCTCCATGATAGGTAAATTAATATGGTCATTTCCACATAGCACCGCAAATAGTGGTAGTAGAGCTTTATTCATATTGCTGAAGTGACGGCAGAATGCATCAAGGGAAAAACATTTAGCGGGGATGTAAGATTGTGTGCCCTGAACAGTGTTCACATTTCTCCACTGAAAACTACTTAATGGACAAAACCCAGTTTTAAGATCAAAAATGCAAAAGTCGCTGTCTGATGATAAAACAGGGCAATTCCAGTGATTAGCAAGTGTCATGATGTCCCGATCTGCTTCTGAAAAGCACTGAACAAAACACACCTGCAGCTTGATCAAAACCTGTATGAACACTTCCCGGATGAGTAAGGGACACACATATCCACCCCCACCAAGAGAAAGGGAATGGGCTGTCTGGATCTTCTCTCTAGCGCGATCCTTTAAAGTTGTAAGCTTTTTATCTGAAATGTCACATCCTCCATCTAATACAACATATGGACATATATCACATGCAAACAGTGATTCAAAAAATTTTTGTACAACATCTGCAAAAGAATCATAGTCCCCTCCGTATCGGAGTTCCAAGTTTGAATTGAAGCAAAGTCGGTGGAAAAGAGCATAGCCATCAATGATAATTTTTGTGTCCCGCAACTTCAAATCAGTAAAGAATTCATTACTATGATCTTCCACAAAACTCATTAGTCCTCGGATACCCATGATGACAGTCTGAAGAATTGCCTGTTTAAGACAATAGATTGCATTTTCAAATAATGCTGGTTATTAGGCACCACGTTACTTCCCCGACCATGAAATCAACAGCAAATGTTACAAAGTGTTCTTTAGATAGAACATCCTGGATGTCAAAATCTCTGAATTCTTACCTAGACCCTCAGGCAACACTAGTTCAATGTTTTTTCATTGTTTTTTTTTTTTTTTTTTTTTTTGCTTTCCCAATAACATTACAAGGTATAAACTCAGTGGTTTCTCATGTGTATTGATCTTTGGCTAGAGATGGAATCTGTTGCTGATTCTAAAGAAAAACTAGTTAAAGTCCATTATAGCATCTTACATCACAGTATTTGTTTTGTGGAGTCAAAGTAAAAGTCCTAAGCTATAAAAATTACATCATTATTGCTCTCATAGGCTTTAGTAAACTAAAGTGTGTAAGATCTTTGATAGGGATCCAGACTTGGATTGACAAGGCCTAGAGCTTGTGGAACTTTGACAGTTTGGGGTAAGAAAAATTGCTTCTTTAGGAACCCAACTATCCTGTTTCACCTCTAACCATGGGCTCCTAGTTTTGCATGTTTGGCCCACTTACACTTCCCTGTCTGACTCACTTAACTCACAGAATCAGTATCAGTGTTTTTTTCTTTGGCCTTCAGTTTCATCAGGTACTATCATTATTTAAAATAGTGACATTTGTCAATCATGGATTTTTTTTCGCATCAATTTTGATTTTTAGCGACAACAATTTATTTATCTGGAGTACTTTGAGGGCATCACTTAACATTTTGCGTTTTGACTCACCTCATTCTAGTCCCAGCCCAGTCTTGGCACCTTATCCTGTATTTATTTCTTTACGAGTCTGCTTTGTAAAGATTGTACTAACATAGATCGTCTCGACTCTGCAAATAGCAGAACCTTGCACACACAGTAGTTCAACAAATGCGAGCTGGATAGGAGAAACGCACGTAAAAGGTTGTTCTCAAAGGTAAGTTCTCAAACACAGGCCTTCATACGCCGTGTCACCTGGGCCCTCGCAACACTCTTCCCAGACCAGCAGGGATAAAATATGCCGACCAGCGGCAGAGCCCACCTGCGGCGTCCTCTCGAGGACGAACCCCTCCATTAGCGCTAGCAGGAGCCGGGGGAAGTCTGGCAGCCGCAGCACGTGCGCGTCGACCCCCAGGAGCGGGAACAGGAAGTCGCCGACATGACGTCACTGGCACGCCGGGTTCCGAGAAGCCGGGGGCGCTAGACTGCGCCGAGGGAAGATGATCTTGGACTTGGAGGCGCAAAGTCGCTAACGAAAGGTGGGGCGTAGCGAAGGGCGTCTGGTTAGGGAAGCTGGACCCGCCTGGCCTCCTTTCTTTTTCCCTCTTGCGTGGGCTGTGGACTCTTCCGCCTTGGTGACCGCCCATTCGACTTCCCAGCGTGCTCCGCGCGGTCTCCTAGCGACGGTGCCAAACAGCCGTAGCCCGCGGAGGTCTGATACCCGCGGCCGCCTCTGCCCCGGGTTAAGGCCTGCCAGGTTACCGGCGGGACCTGGGCATGGCCCGGGCGCTGCCGCTCCTCCGCCCGAGACCGGGAAAGGTAATGCGAACCGCGCGGGAGAAAGTCACGGTTTCAAACTGCCCGGTCTGGGGTCTGCTTCTCTACGGCTCCCTTCTTTCCCCGTACTCTTACCTCTAGGAATTACTCCAGTCTCCGCAGAATTAAGTGTTGCTGGTGTTTCTCAATAAACGCTAAAAAAGTTGAAGTAGTAAGGAATTGTTCCTTTTACCTTAAGGTTTACTTTTAAGATTGGGTCCCTACTTTAGCAAAACCTGGTGTCACATTAGCTTCCTGTCAATCTGTGATAAACTCTTTCCCTTGCCTTTTGCCCCCACCAGACCTGTTTTCACCTTGAAGGGATAGTTTGCACAAACTGCCAACTTTCTGCAGGTTCCCATCCAGCTTTTTTAACCAAGTTTGTTCCACTATTGGGCAGCACTTGGTCTGATGGTTATTTATTCGCTTAATAAACATTAGTGAACACCTGGGATATGCCAAGCGTTCTACCAAGGCACTGGGGATACAAAGATAAATATGGTTCTAGTTCACTCACAGCCCTCGAGGAGTGGGGGATGTTGACAAATGAACAGAGCTATAAAATCTAGACAGCGGGGTACATTTCTGCATAGCTCTATGGTTGTACGGAGGAGACTAATTGGATAGCCAAAAAGTAGACTGGGATGGAGGTGGCAGGGCTGGGTTTGTGAGAGTGGGCAGTAGAGAACCTAGTCCCAGAGCCCTCTACATCCTGGATGAGAATACTTAGGCATTACTCAGTTTAAGCTCTCCTTTACAAATAGGAGCCACTGGAAGTGGAAGTTGATGTCTGTCTCTTTCTTCATTGCTAAACGGGGGCTTTAATCTTGTCCTTCAAATGAGAAGAATTACCGAGTGGTCTGAAGTACCCATTTCAGTCCTTATACGTTTTTTGATGATCTTAGTTTGGCCAGAAAGCATCATTGTTATGCCAGTGAAGAAAGCAAACAAGGTACATTTAAAGGTCTGCTGTATGTTTCACTAACATTTCTTTGGTTGGGAAATAAATAGTTACAAATATCACTGGCATCAGGTGTAACAACTGATAAAGACACTTCAGGAAGGAACATGTTATAAATGGGCATTTAATTCTGTTCTATTTTGAGGATTTTTGTGGTGGTTTTGTGGTTAATTGACCTGGTGGGTTTTGTGGTTAATTGACACCACCATTTAAAGCCCGTTAGCCATCATTATAAACAACAAGTTTTTGTCTGTTAGCTCTGGAATTGTCAAATATGAAAACCTAACTCCAAGGCATACACAATCTTCAATTTGAAATCACATATTCACATAAATTTAAACCAAAACACTTTTCATAACTAACAAAACATTTAACATTTTAATGAAATAAAAATGATGATCTTACCACGTACCTACTCATATAAAACGGGTTAGAGTGCAATAGCCCAATCATAGCGCACCGTGACGTCAAACTCCTGGGCTCAAGTGATCCTCCTGAGTAGCTGGGACTACAGGTTGTGCCACCACACCTGGGTATTTTTTTTTTTTTTTTTTAGTAGAAACAGGGTCTTGATGCACTGCCCAAGCTAGTCCTGAACTCCTGCGGTCCTCCCACCTTGGCCTCCAAAAGTGTTAGAATTACAGGAATGAGCCACCCTTCCCGGCCCAGTCCTGCTTTTCACACTGTGCCATACCTCTCCTAGCGCCTTGAAAAATTACAGATTTACTTGTAACACATTTATATTTCATGAATATTAAAACACAGTTGTAGATTTGAATCATATTTGTAATATTTTCTGTTTCTAATCCAGGAAGATTATATACCGTATGTATACTAGAAACATAAAACTAGATCAGAATTAGTTTGGGGGAAAATCCACTCTGAATCCCTCCTTACATTTATTACAATAAATGCAAAAACTGATGTAGAGTCTACAGAAAAAAAAATCTGAAGGAAATAGGATCATGCTAATTTCTGGTTTATCCTAACTAACTATTTGTAAACCAAAATAGCCATAAGGTAGGAAGAGAGCCTTACAAAAATGTTGATGCCAATGTGAAGATTTAAGAAAGTGATAATGTTTTTATATTTGGACTTCTTAAAGTAGATGGGGAGTATAAGTCTTAAACAAATGAACAGATTGTTGATTGTAAAACAGATATACATACCAGAAGTTTGTGGAAAGTTGGTGGTAATTCACTTCTGTTAAATTTCAACATGCAAAGGGAAGTTTTTCCTATGGAAGATTGCCTTCTACTGGAATTTGTAGTATCTCTACCTTCTAACATTTTTCTCTCAAGTTTTTAACCAGTATGAATTCACTCAATATGCTGATCAAGGTCCAGATATCATTGTCCAAAACTTATGCTTTTTCTTAGGAATAATTTAGCATCCTTTAGACCTGATCTTTGGACTTTTCATCTTTAAGGCATTGACCAGCGCTACTTGGATGAATTTGACCATCTCTTAGAAGTGAGTATTACGTTTCCATGAATGAATAAATCAGTTCTTTCTTGTCTGGAGCAATGCTGAAATTCCAAGAGGCTGCTAAGTGTGTGAATGGATCGACACCCATTTCCAATTATCCAGAGACCTTGATAGCAAGAAGATACGTGCTCCAACAGAAACTTGGCAGTGGAAGTTTTGGAACTGTCTATCTGGTTTTAGACAAGAAAGCCAAACGAGGAGAGGAACTGTAAGTAAAAATACTATATACAAATCTTGAATTGGCTGTACAACTCTTAGCTAATTAAGAACATGGAGTAATGTCTACTTTGTTCTTTGCATTAAAGCAAAAATTGAGTCTGGACAGGAAGGTTCCTTGACTGATCTCTTCAGATGAGATTTTTAAAGGCATTTCAGCAGGTCAGTAAAGGATCCAAATTACCTAGAAGAGTGAAGTGGGGTAGATTATGTAAATATAGGATTTTTCTGCATACCACACTCTCCATTACAACATTGTTTCCACTTGATTAGAACCTCTCTCCTGAATGTGAAGATAAGAATTGTTTATAATGACTGCATTTTAAAAAATGTTACAGAATGCAAATAATCAGGAATAACATTTGAGATGAATAGAGTATACCAAAAGAAATAAGTGAAAAGTTAGTTGGAACTGAAGTTAGGATAAGAAACTTACACATCAGAGATGCAGTAGGAAGAGAAAGCAGAAAGAAGAATGGCTCTAGAAATTGGCCTTTAATCCCAGAAGACAAAATTTTCATCCCACAATCTATTGCTTTATTCAGAGATTTTTTCAGCCTACTCTTAATTCTCTCAGCTATGGCCGTTGGATATGTAACACATTGCCACACTAGAAACATTTTCCCCCCTTGAGGTCACAGTGTTTTATTAGGTCAAAATAAATCAAGAGACATATGAGTTATGTATGTTACACAAGGCCCTGGGCTCACAACTAGCATATATTAAATATAACTCACATGACAATTATTAGGGTGATAAACCCTTTTCTACTTCTTCATATAGCTTAGAAATTACAAAGGTAAATCTTACTAATGTTACTATTTTATGTTTAAAATCAACCCAGAATTTTTAAAACTTGTAATTATCTAGAATTCAAAGATTTAAGTCAATTCCAATGTGAAGAATGGTCAAATAGCTGGCATTTCTCTAGTGTCCTTATGACTCCTACATAAAAGGAGTTTTTCCCTTAAATCCTAGAGGTGCTTTTCTAGTCAATTAGAATAGGACAATAAATTTCTGACAATTACTACAGAACCTTTATGGAAATGTTGAGAATAAGACTTAAATCTGACCCAGGACTTGTAAAAACTATATAATAAGACTATATCCAATTTTAGTATCTTCAACTAATGAGGAATATGAAGAAATTTAAGAGAATTCACAGAAGGACTAAAAAGTAGATTAAGAAGATATGAAATAAGATGTATAAAGATCAAACTTCAAAATATCAGACTTGAGATAATAGGTGAGTGGAGAAAGAGAATGTGTGGGTGGGGGGATAGAGAGAATGAGTGAGAGTGAAGAGAGAGGGCTGGAGCTGATAGATTGGTAATCAGTTTGTTAGTGACTTTTCTTGTTCCTGAACTAATTTTTAAACACATGACTATAGAGCTAAAGATGGCAGACAGAGTCTAGTTTTGTGGGATGAATCCAATGGTGAGGATAATGGGCAAATCATTTGGCATCAGAGGGTCAAATCTAGACCTTCTTTTACATCTTTGTGGTTGTTCAAAAGAAATTGGTCATCAGAATGTCAGCCTTTTAGCTGTGTAAGGTAACAGTTCATCTGCAGTTATTAGGTTTAACACATGTATAGAGGCAGGAAACTAAACTCTAAACACAATTTTTTTTTTAAGATTCCCCCATCCCCAGAGCGCTGGCAATTAAACCATTAGTTTGTGTGCAAAGCACATTATTAGCACCACCTATTATCCCAGAAATTTTAGTTAAGTAAGGTTTTAAATTCTGTGTTACAAACTGGACTACAAATGGGGAAGTGGTTAATGTTAGAGGTGTATAGAAGATGAATATTTTCTAGAGAGATGTAATGCTATGAATGATATTTCCTTAATAATAACTCCCTTTGTTGTTTTGCAGATGCATCCCTAACTTTTTAACCTCATAACGAAGGTGTATCATAGCTTTGTATATTGGACTATCCCTTGGTGTCAGCGCCTTGGGTAGAACTTAGGTCTGAGATGGTCTGTAGGACACTACTTCCTATGAAAGACATGTAATATATAGTATACACTTCCAGATTTAATCAAAAAACTTGGCAAAACAGAAAAGCTGTATGTAGGTAGTTCTAACTTTTCCATCAGAGTATTGTAATTTAACTTTGTGCCACTTGGGGGCATCACTATACCATTAACATTTTGCATATAGTGTGAATTTTAATTGTAGTGTAAATACCACATTACCTTTCATTGACTTTGTGAATTAACTGTGGGATTAAAATAAAAGCTACAGGCATCATGATTGATTTTTGCATGTTTGGAGAGAGTTTTCTATTTGATGTATATTTTGCATTCCTTTTTAGTTATCACAGTAGAATAAAACTTTAAGTAGTGAATGAGATAGAGTTTTTTTCCTTTATTATGTGTCATGAAATTTATAAAACATTATTTGAGGGCAGCGCCTATGGCTCAGTGAGTAAGGCGCCAGCCCCATATACCGAGGGTGGCAAGTTCAAAACCGACCCTGGCCAAACTGCAACAAAAAATAGCCAGGCGTGGTCGTGGGTGCTTGTGGTCCCAGTTGCTTGGGATGCTGAGGCAAGAGAATCACCTAAGCCCAGGATCTGGAGGTTACTGTGAGCTGTGACACCATGGCACTCTACCAAGGGCAACAGAGTAAGACTCTGTCTCTTAAAAAAAAATTATTTGAGAATATTTACTTTCATCTTTATATACACTCCAATCTAATGGATGTAATTATATTGTTATATTTCTTTTTCTTTTTTTTCTTTTTTGAGACAGAGCCTTAAGCTGTCCCCCTGGGTAGAGTGCTGTGGCATCACAACTCACAGCAACCTCCAACTCCTGGGTTCAAGCTAGTCTCCTGCCTCTGCCTCCCAAGTAGCTGGGACCACAGGCGCCCACCACAGCGCCCGGCTACTTTTTTGGGTTGCATCCATCATTGTTGTTTGGCGGGCCCAGGCTGGATTCGAACCCGCCACCCTAGGTGTATGTGGCTGGCGCCTTAGCCACCTGAGCCACAGGCGCCGGGCCTATTGTTATATTTCTAAAAAATTATTCTAGTAGTTTTTGTTATATTTTTAAGCTGTCACAGTATCTTCTTCTTTTTTGATGAGCCAAAAGTTACTTTTATCCTTAGCATAGTTCATGTAATTTAAAAGAAAAGAGATAATAAGGAAGTGGGCTTACTGGAAAATACTATGTGATTAAACTTGTAATCAATCATGATTACAGCTGCAATGAATTTCAGTCTGCATCCTGTCAAAATACAATGCTGATTATAATAATTTTTTTTAAAAGATTTCATCACATTTAAGATACAGTGACCTTACTATGGGAGGTTGATTTTCTGTTATAGTCTGTTTTGTCTTTCAGCTATTACATATTAAATAAAATTTAAATATTAAATGTTAAATTTTAATATTAAAATATTAAATAAATATCAAACATTTGTTTTGGACTCAGCATCAGGGAGGAAACTGAAGCAATAGAAGATAAAGCCTGGCTCTTAAGAGCTTCCAGTCTAGAAGACAGGCAGAATTAACATATCTAAAACAGCTAGCAAACAATATTTAAGACATTGCTTAAGTATCTGTATGGCAGGTTACACTTAGCGATATTGGCATGTCCACTGCCAAACTTTCTTTTTGTCTAAATATAGTTATTATCTTGCTAGTTTCTGTGTGTTATGTAAAAGCTTTAATATTTTCCCCTGGATCCTGTCCATGTAAATATCCAAACATTATCTCCCTCAACTTGATCCTACACCTCTGCTTTTGCCTAAAGGTGGTCAACATGATAAACATGGAAGTGCTTTATCTCCCCAGAGGACATTTTTTCCTAGTCTTGTATGTCAACAACATGAGATGAAGATTGAGAGTTAAATAGGAAATATCTTGAAGTCCTTAAAGAAATGTCCTAAGTTCATGCATGAAGGCCCAGGCCCTTGCCTTCTCAGAGAATTCTTGAGTCTGTATTAGAGCATTAACAAGCTGATTTCCCACCAGCTATGGAAACAAAATGGAGGAGAGGGGGCCAAGTATTACTACTAGAAATAGCTACACTAACAACAGAGGGGAAGGGTTTTAGGCTTTGCGAGTAAGAGAGGTAGTGAGTCATAACAGGGCAATTACAACCCCCCCCAATCTAGGTCAATTGTAAAACTAAATAGCTCCCTGTACCCCAGTCTCTTCCAAAGGCATCTCAGACTTTACAGTACTAATTCCAAAGTGTTGTATTAAGATAAAATCACCAACTAACGTGGAGTCTTTGAAAGATAAGAACCATAACTGAGACTCCACACTGAGTGAGATCTAGGCCTCAGCTATTCATATTAATGTACTCAGAGATGGTCAGTCTTAGTGAGGAGCTTATGCTCACTAAATCCAGACAAGATAGATGTATAAACCATGATGCCACTTCTTAATTTGGGGCTTAGAATGAATAACCCCTCTTTTTGTGAACCTTCCACCATTTTTGAATGGAAGTTCTGAAGCTGAATCAGAAGTAAAAAGTTCTGAATCAGAAGTAAAAATATAATTGGCTGGGCTTGGTGGTTCACACCTGTCATCTTATCACTTTGGGAGGCCAAGACAGGTAAATTGCTTAAGCTCACAAGTTCAAGATCAGCCTGAGCAAGAGCAAGACCTGGTCTCTACTAGAAGTTGAATAAACTAGCTGGGTGTTGTGATGGGTGCCTATACTCCCAGCTACTCGGGAGGGTGAGACAAGAGGATTGCTTGAGCCCAAGAGTTTGAGGTTGCTGTGAGCTATGATGCCATGGCACTCTACCCAGGGTGACCAAGTAAGACTCTGTCTCAAAAAAAAAAAAAGTAAAAATATAATTAAAACAAAGCAGGTAAAATAATGGAACAATTATTTGCTTGAACCAGGTAAACACTCTTATAACAAAGGTCATTCTAAGTGATCATTTTTCTGAGAGCCTCAGACCCATTGTCTTTATGTACTGAATAGCTGTGGATGCACACTTACAGTTATCTTTAGGGTGTCTCCT